TTTTTTAGCCAAAGCTAATTGAATTTGATTACAATTTTTTTTCTCCTGAAAAGCCAAGTCAATAATAATATATTTTAAATACAAATATGTATTTGCAATAATCCATATGAAACGTGATGTTTAATATTATTTTTTAGAGTGTGTGTGTAAAAAAAAAATTTTTTTTTTTTTTAAATGGTGTTTTCTCAAATCTGTTTATACACAGCAGGTTTTCCAATGTGACTAGCACTGCTAGAGTCTGTAAAGTTTGATTCTATATACAGTAACAATAATAACACAATGTCAAATATTCACTGAAGTAAAAATGTGCCAAATAGCCCCGGTCACCCTTACAAAGGAACAGATTGTACTTGATTTAATTCAACCAAATTACAAGGCATAACTAGAGAAACAAATAAAGTCTAATTTGACAGATTTATCTGCTTAGCAGAATTTCCTAAAGCGAGAAATTTCATTTCCAATTAATATTCTCTCCTAACATACAATATTCTTTCGATACACATTTGATCAAATAGACTTGGTACATTTATGTTAAGCTTATGTAGATTTATGGAATAAAGGTATCTAGGAATATTAACGTTAACTTAAACAGCGTCATCTACAGTTAATTTTCACAGAAATGACGTGTTGACAGATTTGACACATTCTGTAATTTAAGTGCTTAAAAATACTTGCATTAAGGCTGAAGCCCATGTTCAAAATTCACGTTCGGCTGCGACGGACTCTTTAAATACGAGCTTGTTTGTTAGCTAGTGGCGATCTCATCGACTGAAATCTAACGCTCAATAGGAACAAAGGTGTTGAAATGGTATTTCAGACATTCTGAGAGAACTTTTGAAGCAGCTGATACTTTTCACAGGTTTGTCATCCGATAGCTATTTTGATAAGTCTAAAAAAAGCTTATTTGTGACTGCAATGATGTGCATTACACACAGAAAGCAGCTTCCTAAAAGGCAAAGAGGAAAGACTGTAAAAGGTGGGAGAGGGCATGTGGTTAGTATCTCCTTTCCTTTTTTTAAAACAAGCACCATATTTCAGTTCTGAAGCACAAATAAAAATAACCTGAACTAGTCCATCCCTCTTATGTTCTTTCTTTGAAACAGTACCAGATAAATGAAACAAAAAAAACAACATATATGTAGTGTATATGTTGGGGTAAAGAACCCAAAGCACCATAACCCTCCCCTTTAAAGTGGCATTTTATGATTATTCAACAAAAAAACAAACAAGCAATTACATGGGATATTTATTAGAGTGGTTAAATCCACTTTAATTTCGGAAATAACGGTTATTAATCCCTATGGAAGAAACCCCATATTTGGACACGTGGGCAAACACCAACAGGTTTTTTTGTACTGGAACGTCGTCACCCTGATTGTCAAGTGTTCGCTGAGACGAAGAAATTCCCAATGCTACAACATTTTCCAGCCGCGTGCTGCTGAAACGTTTGCACAGTTATTGGCTGAGTAGAACACTTTGAGGTTATACACGTTCAAATAAACGGCTGTTGTCTGATTGCTTTTAGAGAGGCCTGCAGAAGAGCCCGACTGAATTTCTAGTCTGCTAATGCTGAAATATAATGGCACAATCTTCATGAGTAGGCTTCAGTTTCCAGACAGCCTTCGACGCCTCCCTGCAGAGATGCACAGTTGTGTAGTGGCAGGAACATAAATAAGCTGCCGCTAGTAATTAAAAGTGCAATACATAATTGCTGAAGCCAGCAGGCCGGTTATGGTACTGCAAAAACAGTCCTATGCAACTTTGACGCTGACAACCAGGGTCCACAATTAACGTTTTGCCAATTTCACAACGACAAGTATTTCATACTGGTCATAAAACTATTTTGTTTTACTTAAACTAAATTTTGATGTTTTTCTGCCTATTAGTGACAAAACGTGCGAGTCGCAACAGATGCCACTGATTAACTCTTCCCCCGCCATTAACGAGTTATCTCATCTTTTAGAAGACAACGTTTCCCCGCCAAAGACGAGTTTTTACGGCTTTTCGTGTTTTCACTGTTATACACTAGGGGGCGCTATTACACATCTTCTGAACAAGTACAAAACCTCCCGAACAAAAACACGCGTACACAAAATAATGATCTTTAAAAAAGCATCATATGACCCCTTTAAGTACTTTTTAAAATAATTACAAATTGAAAAAAAATTATTAAAACAGTTGTATGTTAAGAATTTTAAATGAACTGTTTCCCCACCATTGACGAGTTATCTCATCTTTTAGAAGACAACGTCAGATGTAGTTTTTGATAAAAATGTGATTTTCTCACCTTTTTGCTCAAAATTTTTTTTTTTTTATGAAACCTACCTATATTCAAGTGTTGATAAAAAAAAAGAATGCTTTAAGCTAGAATAAAACGGATTATTTTTTTTAAAAGTAGAGGCTCTGATCTTTATTTTGGTGTATTGCATATTCAAATATTCATACAGCAAAATATTCTGGAGGCCATCAAATTTTAGTGAAAATCATCAAAATCGCTGGCAGTGGCTGGCAACTTTTTTCAAAAATGGTGGCGGGGAAAGAGTTAACGACGGGCAAAATGCTGCTCTTTTTTGCTGAAAATGTACTCACTCTCGGGCCATCTAAGATGGAGATGTGTTTGTTTCTTCATTGGAACAGATTTGGAGAAATGTAGCATTGCGTCACAGTTAAAAATATTTTAATGATAGATTTGTTTCTTACAAACATGCAGCTTTTTCGCTTCACGAGACATTAATTGATGGACAGGATTTGTGTGGATTACTTGTGGATTATTGTGATGTTTATCAGCTGTTTGGACTCTCATTCTGATGGCACCCATTCACTGCAAAGGATCTATTTGGTGAGCAAGTGACGTAATGCTAAATTTCCCCAAATCTGTTCCGATGAAGAAACAAACTCATCTACATATTGGATGGCCTAAAGGTGAGTACATTTTCAGCAAATTTAAAAAAAATTCCTTCAAGACATGTAATGTGTTTATTATGAGTTACAATTAATCATTCAACCAATTATTCAATTTACGTTTCCATTTTTTGCTGCTTTTAGTTTAGATATTTTAGTGGTGATGCTTTAATTAACATGCTACACATTAGCTATAATATATTTTGCATGGTGAAACTCATCCAGGAGTTGCGTCGTTAAATTCACCTTGTTTAAACACGTCACTATAAGCTATACACATTCAGAAATATGTCTTTGGCTGTTGCTCTGTGTATCACATAGGGGTGGGCGATATACCGGTAGAAATTTGTCAGTGGGTGGAGATTTTGGACTATCGTCTCTATTGCGGTTAAACGCTCACGTGATGTTGCTGTGCTACGTGGTCATGAAAACTTTTCGTTTGCACGCATTTTTAAGTATTGCGGTTTAAAAACAAGTGATGTTAAGCCGTTGAAATGCAATCAGCAGCGAAATCGTTTCGTTATTTGTGCGCAATGTCTGAAAGACTGTTTTTGAGCGCTGTCAGAGAGGCGCGCACATGAAGACGGTGCTCATAGACCGCAGAAATATTGAACAGAGTTATTTTATAGGCTTTGAACGGTTAAACAGACACACTTGTATGTCAAAATGCCCATCTTTGCAAATATCTTCATAAACACAGTAATTTAGGTCTTAAGTGAAAGCAAACAGCTGAG